AATTGAAAATATAATTTATTTATTATGTTATTGAAATATATTATGAAAATATTCCGTAACATTTTAATTAACAATAATAATTTTTATATAAAAATTGATTGTTTATTCACAGTGAGGAAGAATCTACAAAAGAAAATTGGGAAAGGTATTACTGGGATGCTATAAAACGTACATTTGGATTTGGTTATTTCATGTGATCTATGTATGTTTTAAATTTCGCTTGCTTATTGATAAGTAGAAAAATAATTAAAACATATATTGTCGTAAATCGCCTCGCATACCATTTACGAATTAACCGCATAATCAGCTACGTACAATCTGTCTTTTGTCTCAATGCTAGTTACAAGTTTTTCTTTTCCTATATTTCACATTTAGAACATTGCATCGTATAAGCGGGACATGATTACACGATTGCTTAGATATAAATAAAGTATCACCAACATGACACATCTGTATTAATAGTTGTATATGTGAAATAAATCATGTCAGATACTTAAATATTTGATTTTTCTTGTTTTTGATCTATATGTATGAATGCATATTACGTATACATATCTTTGTACCTAATATGAAAATATTCCGTCGCGTTGTTACGTCGTCAATCCTTAAATTTTCCACTTACGATTGTCATCTATTTTTTCTTTATTACTCTTTAATATTTTCTATTCCTATAATCATTACATTTTATAATTTTTGTGTAAAAATTTTTCTGTAAAAAAACGGCATATATATATATATATATAAAATACAACTTGTACATTTTGCGAAAATTAGTAGTACTAATTCTTGATGATATTAATGTCAGATGTTTGAAAAATATAATTTAAATTCTCTTCTTCGCAATAAAATAAACTCAAATATATAGATAATATTGATTAAATATAAAAGGAAATACGAGATAGTAAAAAATGGAGAAAGTATTTATTTACAATATAATATATATAAAAAACTAAGTACATATATACATATAAAATAATATATACATATGTACATAAATATAATTTATATTTAATTATTAAATTTATATTAATTATCACTATGCTCACTAGCACTATCATCTGTTTTATCTGATAATTGAATTTCAATCGATTCTTTTGAAACATATTCTCTTTTATACATATTAGAATTAAATAATTGTAACATTTCTTCAGTAATTTCATAATTCATGCAATTTGTATTTTTATTTTCCAAGTCTAATTTAATTCTAGTTAATGCACTAATCATTTCAGGTTTTAATCTATTTCTATCTTTTGTTTTAATTTCTGCTATGATAGAGAAACATCTTTCCATATCTATATTTGAATGAGGCAATGATAAACATAAATTTGCTACTTTTGCGATATTTTGAAATTTATATATTTTTCCTACTTCATCCCAAAATTCGGATATATTTAATTGTAATAGTTTTTCTTTTTCTTCTTGTGAAAAATAGAAAGGTAGCAAATGCCATTCATCTTTTACATCATATGTATTGAATTTAGATTTAAATTTGTCTAATATTAAATTTAATTGATTTTTATGATTTTTCATATTTAAAGCAATATTTGGGTTTAAAAATTCTAAAGAATTTAAAATTTGATCACCAAAAGATATTTTTTTTACAGTATTTTCGAAAGCACATTGATAAAATTTTTTAATATTTACATAAAATTCTAAGATTTTTTTATTATTATCTTTTGTATTAGTATTTTTAGCTTCTTTTAACGTTATTAAAGCTTCCTCGCCAATGATAATTTCTTCTAAAGGACGTATGTTATTTTCATCATAAATATTAATTTCGTGTAAATTTGGGGTTTCTATATAATTAGGTTTAATAAAATGGCTACCTAAACATCTCAAAAATCTAAAACATTCCGGTAACAAACAGTGAATTAGGATTTCCGAACTTTGAAAAAGCATATTGAAGTCAGTAATTAAACGTAAAATGTAATTTAAAAATTGTAAGTATGCTTTTGTATATGGACACTTAAAATTATGAAATATTTTTTTTGCAATAGCAGATTTTTTTTCAATATTTGCTTCTGCAAATATTGAAAATAATACTGTCCATTGAGTTAAAATATTTTTTATACATTCTAACAATGCTAACCATCGGTTTGCAGATGGCTGAATTACTTTTTGTCGTGCAACTTTTATCAAATTTTGAGTATTTTCTAAAATATTTTGTCTTCTTGGATTTTTAGAAAAATATGAATATATTGAATGTACAAATTCTTCAACATGTGTTGGTAAGCATTCACATGCACGACATGCAATTAAGTGCATAGAATGGCAAATACATGGGAAGACATCAATTTCCTTATCTTTTAATAAGCAAGAAACTAATGAATTATATTTTCCTAACATAATATTTGTATTGTCTATTGGAACAACAACTATATTCTTTAAGGATAGATTATGTTTTTCTAAAGATTGTAGGAAACATTCATATAAATGTTCTGATGTAGTATCCTTAATATAAACCAAATCTAATAAATATGTTTGAATTTTTCCTTCATGTATGTATCTACTTAAAATACATAAATTTTTGGTTTCTGAAATATCTATGCTTTCATCTATTAAAACTGAAAGTAATTTATTTTGTAATATTTTAGTAGTTTCTGAAATTACAGATTTATTAATTACATTTTTTATTATGGATGAGATTTTAGTTCTTTTAAAGGACACATTTTTTATTATGTTAGAATCAGGTAATGCTGTTTGGATCATTCGAACAATATGATCAAATGAGTTAAAGCTTTTACAATGCTCTACAATATCCAAACAAAATCTCAGTTCTGCTTCCTTTATGCTTTCAGAAATGAAGGTTGATGATTTTTTCACTACACCTTCTTCTTCATTTTTTTTTCCTTTCATATTTCTTTTATGAAGTAGTGTTCGATTGTGTTTTTGCAGAGTACTTTTCCCAGTTATGAGAGTTTTTTTGCAAACTGTACATCTGGCTTTATATGGATCTTCACATTTTTGTAACCACAATGCAAAATCAGGGTCCTGAAGCCAAGCATCACGAAATGTATTCTTTCTAAATTTTTTCCTTGGAGAAGGAGAAATCATGTTGTCAATACCTATTTATATAATATTCATTATTAATAAAATATAATAATATATTTTTAAAAGATTAAAGAAAGAAGGTATTTTTTTTCATAATTTAAAAAATACTTATATATTTTAAAAAAAATTTTTTTTCAATCTGAACTAATTTGATATTAAATAAATATCTTACTCAATGTATTTTTTATATCACAGTTTATATTAATTTTACTGGGACCAGGAGTAGCTGTACCATTATTATCAATGCCTAAAAAATATGAAATATTCATTATTAGTTAATTTTTTATATAATATGTATTTTCGATATGTACATGATATGTATTCTAAAAATTTTAAATAAATATTAAAAAACAAATTAATAAAGATATTTATAATAAATAGAAATACTTATATTTTTCAAAAAATATATTTTTTGAAAATTATATTGACACAAAAATATTAAATATTTATTTTACCTGATTCCTTCTTCATATTAGAATTTTAAATAAAATAAAACAATATAAAATTATAAAAGTTTCACTAAATCTTTAAACTCTACAAAAAGTTTCTAATCTCTACAAATAATGCGAAAGCACGCGAAACGAAAGTTGCTAGTTGCCAAAAAAAAATCTGATTGTAATTGTGTGTCAGCGTTGGTAAAGTTGCCATGAAAAGTTTGATCATTGGAAGAGTGGGAGAAAATAGTAATATGGTAGTAGAACTTAGAAATGGAAGTGGGGAAAATAACGGGTGTTCTATTTGCATCGTCAGAGTAAAGTAATCTTGCCCATTACCAAACAAATTTCTGAGAAAATACACGATATTATTCAACATTACGTTACTCACGTAATATGAATAATATATCTTATCATATTTGATGTCCTCCTGTAGTTTCTTTTCATTTGTTTGTAGTCTATAGTATGAATCATTATATCACAAATTTACTATACTATTTTTATTCACAATCATCCAATTTTGTTTTCCCTCGACATGACGTTACTGTACAGCCATGTTGCCAATAGCATTCTGCTGACAATGGCAACGCTACTGGTAATCGGAATTTTTATTTTAATATCGACAGTTTTATTTTATTTTAATATTTTGTAATGATAAGAATGTTCAGATAAATAAAGATAAAATATTATTGTATAAATAGTAATATAACATTTTTTAAAAAAATTATATTTATATTATATTTATATTTATAATTCTTTTAATAAATTATTACATAGACAATACATTTTTAAATCACTTTTTTCAAAGTCCTCTTCTTAAAATGTTCTAATGTTTATGTAGTTAAATAAAAAAAATTTTTTCTTTGATGTTGGAAAATAAATAAAAATAAACATGTATGTATGGATTAAAAGTCATTTTATTTATCACAACTTTTATTTAAACAAATTTCAAGATTTTAATTAAATAAATTTTTATCTCTAATTCAACATTGCGATCAGAAGTCTTTTCCATTCAGCGTTGCAATCATTCTGGAAAAGAAAGATACTGGTTTTCTCGTTCACACTTTACGATAAATAAAAAGAAATAAAAGAAATGCAAATTTATTGCAAACGAAATATATATATATATATAGTATATATTATACAATTATATTAAACGAATGTTATTAACATCTATGTTAGAGATGCCCATATCATATTTCTTATAAATAAAATTAATGTAAACATGTATTTCTTTCCATAACTTTCTTTAATTCAAAAGCGCGATCAGAAGCCGCTTAAAATCTTCACTGCAGTCACTCTGTAAATGCAAACAGAATGTGGGAAAAATTAAAAGCAATGTTAATAAACGAATGCAAAATAATAATGTATTTATATACAGATTCAGAATAATACACATATGCATGCATATTATAAAAGCTATTTTTAATTAGTAAAATTAGTTAGATAGGCATATAAATTGTCTTATAAATTAATGAACTTCAGTGTGATCTTTTTTTTTTAATAATAAAAAAATAACATATTATTCGTTTATTTTCATTTAATAAGTCTCACAGAGATTAAAGCAGCTTATTTCGATGCAAACGAAATAATTTTATAAGCAAACTCATACACGATAAAATAATTAAACAAGTCCAACCAAAAAAATTAACTACATAATACCGTAATCCCTGCTAATTATTGATATAATTTAGAATAAATATTCAAGTTAAAACATATATATGTATAATAGCTTCGCGGAATGTAATGAAGGAAAATTCCTGGTATTAATATATGATTTAAAAACAAAAGAAGTTGTTCAATGAAATGTTTTCATCCAAGTAGAGTAAGCAATAGTTTCTTGTAGTCTCCTGAACAGTCATCCTGAAATTTAGGGAAAATTATGGGCAGCCAAGATATAGCGAACTAGCTTGTTAAAGGTACTTGTGCTTTACAAAAAATTAAAACACTTATGTGCTTATATATTCTGCATCATTGCTTTGATTAAACTAAGTTTAAAGTTTGTATAAATGTTTCTGTAAAAAATCAACATTTTCACAATGTTATTAATATAATTTTTTTCAATTACAATCGTTGAAAGATTATTAAAATTATAATTTTAATTATTAAAATAATAAATAATCTTTAAATCATACATTGAATACATATTTCATTTTTAATTCGATAGACAATAAAGATAAAAATTACAGAAACATTTTTACCAGTATTTAATATTTTACAATATAAATTATTATCAAAAGTTTAACTTACATCGATGTCACCTGCGAGCGACTGTCCATAGATCTTTTGATAAGCATCTTTAATATCTCCCAAATCTATTTCTGATCGAGCTACGACTATACGTATCAATGTCGAATCATCTGTGCCCAATCCACGCATTGCTTTGTATAATCTTTCCGCGAAATATGCAGTTTTGTCTCGTGCACATTTTACTAAAAATAAACAAATGCAAAAAGTGTAATTTTTAAATATTTTTTAGACAATATTTGAGATTACAATACTTGAAAATATTTGAATTTGCTTTAAAAGACAATCTAAAGAAAAGACATAAAATTAATTGTTTATGTAATTATTTTAGTAGCAAGTAGAAATAAATACAACAAGAATCAAATAATCAAATGTATAATCTATTGCATAAAAATCATGCAACATTGATCTTACCAACTGCAAGATAACCGTCTTCGAGAGATCCTGAGAATTCTCTCTTAATAGCATCTTCTAAACTGTGACCAGCAAGACGCTCATATTCTTCGAAAATTTTTCGTAATTGAGGATAACTTTTAGTAATGAGAATAGCATTGAAAGTACTTTCGTCTGTTCCCCATTGTTCCTCTCCCGCAGCAAGTAATCTTTCAGCATCCTGAATTGCAGCTTCTCCGTCAACATCAGGATTTTCATCTCTATTGGCCTAAACAGAACAATAAAAATAATCGATTAAGAATATTATCGATTAGATATAGATTTTATTTTCAACAAGAACAAAGTTACAAAAAAAAGAAAAAGTATTTCGATGTTCGTTTTCAATATACAATTAAAGAAATAATTCCATTATATTTCAATAATAAATTCATTTGTGTTTATTAATTTATAATTTATTTAATTCATTATTATATAACCATATTATAATAATATATAAATAGTTTTCAACAAATGGAAATGTCGAATTTTTATATATTTAAAGTGAATATTTTTTTTTTTCAGTTCTCCATCATCTCCAGATTAAACGAAAAATTGTCAAAAGAAAAAAAACAATATCGGTGCGATAAGAAGATCAATGTTTTGTTCATATTAAGCTTGTAAATACTATTAACGAAAATATTGTACGAGAGCAAGGGCAGAAGAGAGAGAGAGAGAGAGAGAGAGAGAGAGAGAGAGAGAGAGAGAGAGAGAGAGAGAGAGAGAGAGAGAGAGAGATTATGCATTAAAATATATATAAAAAATTAAAATTTACTTACGCATGAAAGTGAAACTAACAGTCTCTTAAAATGTCCAGAAGTATCGCTCTTCAGATCTTCCTCCAAATCTGTATCGTATACTGCAAGAATATATCATTATAAATTTATATAATTTTGTTAATTCAAAAATATAATTGAAAAAAAAATTGAAATCGTTAATTAATAATTAAAAGAATATATCTATACATGATGTTATATTCATTCGTTTATAAGATATTATAGAGCGAGCATGAATTACAATAATCAAATCATATTGAAGTTTGAAATATTTATATAATATAAAGAATTATTTCTTGATTGATATTCTCATATCGTTTAATAGACGCAGTACTATCCCCACTAATTTCTTCGCGGAATTATTTCACGAGTAAATCATTGACGTTATTTCCAAGATGAATGATATCTCGGTTACACAATGAATCATCAGAGTATAAGAAATACAATTTTCATAATGTTTATTTTATGACTGTGAAATTATTTTAATCAAATTGGAAATGATACCAATCACGATTTTACTTGAATGAATTTAAATTATTTAAGTAAGTAATATAAGCGTTCAATTGTAAGAAAGAAAAAATAATATATCGAATTGATAATAATGCGCTTGCAAAATCTTGCATAAGATAGATAATAATAAATTTTCCAAACTATAATAATTACAAAGATCGTGCAATATTGTATTTATTAAAAATCGTTGGACCGAAAAAAGACTCACGTTCTTTATAGACGGCAGATATGGTTCTTATGCCATAATTGCTAAGGGACGCTAGCACTTCGATGAGAGCACCTTCGTCCGTTCCCATTCCAGAAATCGCTTCGTGAAGTTCTTTAGCGTAGAATTCTGGTAACGGTGTCATCAATGCTAAAATAGCCTTTTCGAAATTACCGCCAAGTTCTGATTTCAATTCAGAGATCAGATCCTTTCCGTACATAGTTTTAAATTTATCGCTTATTTCGAGTCGTTGCACGATACCACGATGGGCAAGGACATCGATTATCGTTTGTTCATCGGTGCCAAAACCTTTCATGGCGGCTCGAAGAAGAGATGCATCTTGTTCTGGGTCAAAAGGATCAGCGGGATAAACCGTTGGTGTACACTGTGAATAAAATCGATTGTATTTTGGTTATTGGAGGATAACCTTTTTAAAAGTTTATAAAAGTTAGATTTAAATTACCTGTACGTGATAATATTGACTGGCCGACATTTCGAATTTGCTAGAATATAAATTCAGATATTAAATAGAAATTAAAATTTATTAATCATTATTTCTATCATTTGATCATGTTCGTATTATATTCATCATCATCATTTTGTGATGTAAATATTACAATGCTAATACTTAAGGAAAAAAATAATAACATAAGTTATTTGTATTCGTATTAATATAATAATTAAGATCGTTAAATTAAAAAATTAAATTAATTCTTCTCTATTTTTCTATATAAAATTGATGTTTTAAAATATAAAAAAAAATATATCTTTATAATTATTTGTAATCAGAAATATATATTTTTATCATCCAAATTATGAGATGAATGATGATGTCATTAGTTCGGTATAAATATCTTTAGAAATTTGCAATTAATTTTATTTTAACTATACACATAAAAAAGAATGTGAAGACTATTATTTCAAATATCGTATTGATCGGTATCTAGAAATGAGTATTCGGGGTGTGGCTCTTACCTTCTTTTTTAGCAGTTGCAAACTTTATTCGGTTTCTCTACGTAGCAATAGCGTTCGGTTGTCGTCACCAACTGAGACAGACTGGTGCTCCGCCGTGGATATTCTCTGAAGGAATGGTGGGAGTAATAAATGGAGAACGTACCTGCTGTAATAAGAAAATAAGATTTAACGATGATTTAATGCATAGGTAATTCATATAATGATTTTATGTAAGTATTATAAATAAAAAACTATTTATAGATTTGCAAACAACCAAAAATTACACGAAACAAATTTAATATTAATATTAGTAAATATGTACACAATTTTATGACGTTTGGATAACTTGTCTCGTATATTTAATGTAAATTTATATTAAAAATAAAAAATATATATATATTTTGTTAATATCACAATCTTTGCTTTCATATATATGTTTCATATATTTGTACTTATAATTTATATATATGTACTTATATATATGTACTCATATATATGTACTTATAATTTAATAATATTATATATTTTCAATATCAAATATTAAAATAAATTATTAAAATAATATTTTTTCATCTTACTTTATAGAATTGTATAATAGAATTACTTTTACTATACTAATGTCAATTTTATATCATGCAATTATTATTTAAAAAAACTGTATCTTTATTTTGTAAATATTGAATAAATATAAATCTCTTGTTATCACTTGAAACATTAAATATTAAAATCTAAATTTGATATCACTATACTAATTTTGAAAATCAAATAAATATAAGCATTTTGATGTGATTACATGGACATACCGGGGTACACTAAATATACTAAGATTCTAGTTATAATATTTCGGAGGAAGTAGGACAAGAATCTCTTGGTGGGAGATGTAACAAAGATTCGATGACGTATCGCGTAAAGAATGTTATAGTGTAACAAAGAAAGATAATTAGAATTAGCTCCCATTCGTTAAAAGATTTTCAAGAAACAAGGCCATGATTGTATGATTGTATGATATTATATATAAATGTAAAGTTCTTTGAAGAATGACGAACCGAAGTTCTTTAACTTACAAGTTACAATTAATAAAATTAAAAATAAAAATGAAGCATAATAATTATTTTTGATTTTTTTTTTATTAATGTACGTATTATATATGTAATTTAAATGTGAAATTGTTCGTTCATTTTTTATTTTTTAAATAAATTCTATACTGAATTTTTACATTTTCACATTTCATTGATTCATTTAAATATATTTAAATATCTTCATAATGAAAATCTAGAACTATAATAATAAAATATTCTTTATACTATTATAATATAAAATTATATATATAAAATTTTATTTTTTTTTTAAATTATATCTTTCTTTATTTTTAATTCTACGAAATAATAAATTTCTTAAGCAATTATTTTCAATAAATAAATATATGAAAAATACTAAATATATTTGTATATAAAAATAATTTATATTTTTAAATCTAATATTTCCAAACTCAAGAGAATAATTTTTTAATTATTTTGTGAATAATTAATCTGTAGTATAAATTTAAACTAATTTAAGACTAACTTATGAATCATACGAACCATTCATAATTTTCACATGAATCAACATATCTATAAGAAAATGTTAATAAGCGTGCATATAAAATTTATGACTAATCAATTGTATATCGATTTCGTATATATAGTAATACTATCGTATATCGATTGAAATTGTTATTAATTATTAATAATAATATTAATAATATAAATTAGAAATCCCTATTCTTACATGTATTTAAATATATGTTTAATATATGTGTAATATATAAATGTATAATATATAAAATCGAACATCAATCTGTGTAATTAATCCAATAATATATAATAATGTAGACAAGAATAATGAAAGAATAATAGAAAAAAAATAAAATTTTGAAATCAGTGCCATCTTTAGAATGCCATAAATTAAACATATAAAGAAAGAATAAAAAATAATAGAAAAAGGATAAATAGGGTAAGAATTGATTACTGGCGCCATCTTTTGAATAATAAAAACATCTTTTTAAAAAATTATTTTTCTAAAATATTTAAAAGATAGTGTTAATTCTCAATTTTTACTCTATTTTATCTTGCTTATGAAGAGATATTCGAGAGATATCATTAGCAATTAATTCTTATTCTATTTCTATTTTCCTCTTTCGATTTTCTATTCTTTCTTTATGTATTTTCATTTGCGATATTTTAGAATTAACGTTAATTTCAATCAAATTTTTACTTTATTTCTATCTTTTTCTTTATTCACTTTTTTTGTCTATTAAGATTTTGTTTTAAGGTTTATTCCATGTAGACGTTTAATTTGATATATGTACAAAACTACGATCTCAATTAATAATTTGATAAATTTAATTAAAAATTAAAATAAATTTAATTTTGTATTTATAATTTATATAGAAATATGATATTAATCTTGAAATTTTATTATTATTTATATGAAATATATTTATATTTATATTTTCAATATCTTATAAAATTGTAAACGAAAATTTTTTTGAAATTTAAAATAAATTTAGAGAAATGAAGTTGAATTGATTTGAAAAATAGAAAATTTTATTATATATATACATATTAATATAATGATAATATGTTATTATTATATCATTATATTGACCTATTACAATATATCTCTTAATTATATTATTTATATAAGTTTTATTAATTATATAAATAAGTAAATAATGTTTCAAGTTTATTTGTTATTTTTTATTGTTAATAAATATATAATTTATTTTTATAAATGTATAGATATGTTTCATAATAAAATTGTCATAATAAATTGTGTTAAATATATTATACATAATAAACTTTAATAAAATTTAGATTAAAAAATTTTTTTTTTAGATAAATTATCCTTAATCTAGTCATTATCTATATAACCTATAAAACGTTTGTAACACGTGAGTGATCATAAACTAAATGAGTTTATTTATAATAAATAGGTAATATTATTTATAATAAATTGATAAATAGAATAAAAGTAACAAAATATAATATTATTAATTTTAAATATTAAATAATAAAATATAAATTAATTATATCATAAATAAATCAACTACATTATGTTTTAATATATTATTTTTATAATTTTATATAAATACTTCCTAAATAAACAAAGTATTATTATTATTTGCATGTATGTAGTTATTAAATAAATATTATTTTTTAATAGATATGAGGGCGAAAAAAAGGAAACGAAGAATGAAAAGAATCAATTAACTGAATTATTGAAAAGAATAGAAGAACGTAAACAAGAAAGAGCTGCTAAAAATAATAATGAAATAAAAAAGAATAATTCTCAAAATCTGCAGGAATTGAATCATAAAAAGAAAAAGAAAAAAACGAAAAATTTTAATGAAGCTTACGTAGAAAATATTAAATTGAATGAAAATTCTATAATAAATGATGATGAACAAAAAAGAAAAAATTCAGATCAAGATCATAAAAAAAAGAAAAAAAAGAGAAAAAATGTTCATAACGAAGAAAATTATGAGAAAAATGATAAGACACTGTATGCTGAAAATACATATAATCAAGATAGTAGTAAAATATCTAATAAATCAATAAATGAAATACAAAAAGAACAACAAACAAATTTTATAGTTTTGGGTGAAAAAAGTAGACATAAAAGCTATAAAGTTAAGAGGATACTACCAGAATGGTTAACTAACCCAAGAATCATATCTGTTGATTTAGATAGTGGTCCAAGTTTAGAAGAATTGAATTCAATTTTAGATCTCAAACTTATTGAAGTTTTGAAAACTAATGGTATCAATAAATTATTTCCAGTTCAAGCTAGTATGATATCTTGGCTATTAAAATGTAATGAAGATAGACAACAGAAATGGTGGTTAAGGGATACATGTGTATCTGCTCCTACAGGCAGTGGTATGAATATATATTATTTATAGACATAATTAAATAATTAAATAATAATATAATTTTATTGATTTAAATTTTAATTAACAAAATTATACATTTAAGGATTATGATATATTTTTAATTTTTAGGTAAAACTTTGGCATATGTTCTACCAATTATTCAAATATTACAATCTCGATTAGTTCCAAAAATACGTTGCTTAGTTGTTGTACCAGTTCAAGAATTAGCTACACAAGTTTATAAAGTTTTTGTTACATATATATCACATACAAATCTAAAAGTTGGTTTACTTTCTGGTGCATCAATATTTCATGAAGAACAAAAAAATATTCTGAAAGAAAGTATGTTGAAACTACTATACTATATTGAAAGTACTTATATATTAAAATCATACTATTTCTATTGTAAAAAATGAATTAATTATAAATTTTTTATAATTTCTAATTTAGGTGCCAGAGGGGAATATATATCTACTGTAGATATAATAATTGCTACACCTGGACGGTTAATAGATCATATATTAAAAACACCAGGATTTTCCTTGAATGATCTTCAATTTCTTGTTATTGATGAAGCGGATAAAGCTGCAGATTGGTTAGAATATCTTCCTGATCCTCATTATCGAAGACCGCGATTAACACTTTTTAACTTACGTTCTTGGTTAGTTTGTGATTATAATTTTTAAGTAATTTTTTTTTTTTTTAAGTAATGTTTATCAAACATATATATATGTATTATTTGATATTAAATTAATGATTTTTTAATTTCTAAATAGCGAAATTCCAGCACAAAAATTATTATTCAGTGCAACATTATCACAAGATCCTGAAAAATTAAATCGTCTTGGACTTTTTCAACCAATATTATTTACATCTGTTTTGGTGACAGACAAAGATGATGATGTAAATTTAGATAAAGAAATAGGTGATTTCATAGGTCGTTATACAAGTCCTAAAGAATTAAGAGAACAAGCAATAGAATGTACAACAGAGTATAAACCAGCAGCTTTATATCATATAATAATCAACAATGATATAATACCTAAAACATTAATATTTACAAACTCTGGAGAAACTACTCATAGATTAACAATCCTACTTCAGTCACTTTTATTTGAAAAAAATATAGTAGTTGGAGAACTTTCTGCCCAACTTGTATCAAAAGAACGCGAAAAAATACTTAATAAATTTATAAATGGAAAAATTCAAATGTATGTTTTATTAACTATTATATTAAAAATTGAATTTTAATATTTTTGTAAAATTCTCTTATATTTATATTATATTTTTAGACTTATATGTTCAGATGCATTAGCAAGAGGAGTAGATATTCCAGATGTACAATTGGTCGTATCATATGATCTTCCTAAACATATAAATGGTTATATTCACAGAGCAGGAAGAACAGGACGTGCAGGTAAATCTGGTACTGCAATATCTATATTAACACCGAAACAAGTTGGAATATTTAAGCATATGTTGAATAATGCTCATAAAGTAATACCAAATATTGATAAATTAGATTTAAATTCTATTATAAATGAAATTGATTATTCGAATCATATTGATAAATTAAAACATATTCTTGAAATAGAAAAACAAAATAATTTAGAACGTATAAAAACTATTAAACGAACTCATTTAATAAGTTCAAAATAAAGTATTTATTTTTTATATAATATTAAATAAAATATGATTAATATTTGAAAATATTTATTTATAATTGGAAAATAAATAAATCAAGTACAAAATAATGAACTACTTTAGATAAGAAAATAGAAATTTAGGAAAGAAGGTTCAAAATTCATAACTCATAAAATAACA